TTAGCACTCACATACAGCTGCCCTCTACACCTACGCAGAGGGAATTCATGCGTAGGCACACACAAACACAGACTCGCATCTCAGCCAGTCATCGCACAGTCCCTTCCTGCTGCTATTGTAACAGTGCTTGCAGTTCTCCTTTCTGTCTGAGCTGCAACTGTCACAGCTGCTGCAAGAGGAGGATGCGTGAGTGAGAGTGTGAGTGAACATCTGCGCCGCTCCCATCACAAGGTGCATGAGCGTCGTTGCACGACGTAGTTGCACGACGTAGTTGCTTGGGTTTTGTGTCGATGTGTATATTCGGATATAAGGCTCCGCTAAGTAGAATGATGTAAACATGATGGACATGTACTCGAGGATTTGGTCAAGTCGGCGGGCCAAGCGGAGCTTGACTCTGCCGGTGGTTCCTCAGGTAGGTGACCACACTGACACCAAAGCAGCTTTTTATTGTCAAACTTTAAAATCCTCTGTGCTTAGCAGACTTACACTGTATGGTTTAGTAACTGTCTTACTTCCTGGTTCGTGTTAACGTGTCAGCTCTGCACTTGCTCCTTTTCCTGTACAGAGTGTAAATAGAGAAATGACCACTGTTGCTTAAACGCTCAGCCCTCAGTTCTGATATTTACCTTTTTAGTTTGGATATTAAAGAGCCCTTTTGTGGGTATTTCTCTGTAAAATGGCATTGGCTTCAGTCTGAAAACAGCAGTGGCAGACTTTGTACTCATGGGTACTAATGTTCTGAATTTGACAGTTTCAGTTACTACCAGCGTCTATTTCTGTCACTTATTGTGAAAACGACCACACCAGAGAACTATGATGTGTCATACACATGATGTAGTTGCTTCAAAACACGAGAGTGACTGAACTTTTTCAGTTGTGTTTCATTCTGAAAGCATGTTTTCTGTCATTTGAATGTTAGGTGCAAAGCTGATAGTGTTCACCTACACACAGTAAAAATAATAACCAGGGCATAGGACCATGGTGGACATAATCAACACTAGTATGTTTAGAACCACCACCGCGTCAAGTACCTCCACAGGCAGCTGGCTCCCGCATCAGTGTACTTTTGTTGTTGTTGCTGGTCAAAGTGGAGCTAGTTTTAACTACTTTATTTTAGGTACTTCAGTGGTTTCCAGCCTAGGGTTTAGGCCCCGCACGCAGTCACAGGAAAATCTGTATTTTATCAAAATGTTTTTTATGTGAAGTTTTGAGGGGTAACTGCAGCTGTCAAATAAATGTGATGGTGTGTCATCGTGTATCTGCTTGTAGCATATGTAGTTTTACTTTTATCGTATGTGGTTCGCTTTTCGTGGCTTTGCTCCTGATCATGGGGCTCTTCCATTGTGGCCATATCAGCAGTCAATGATGCAACTCTTTCATTTCCCCTCTCTGTGTTTGTGTGGTAGTTGTGTGTTGTTTGGAGTCGATCTGTATTGGGGTCAGTTGTCTGGCTGTCCTTATTGATTGTCTGTCTCAGTTGTACTGAGATCAGTAATGAAGCAAAGTCAGCAAAGGGATAACTGAGTAGGTAGATAAGCAGTTGATCATGAAATCGGTAATGCAGTGACGCTCTCCTCATCTTGCTGTATTTTAACTTTTATTGATGTACTTTTATTTTTATCTCCTGAACTCCTTTACTTAGGTACGTGTAGCGATACCAGAGTGTAAATGCTGCACTACAAGTAAAAGTCCTGTGTTCAAAAGTTTTAGTAATAGCACAGAAGTACAGTGGGTACGGAAAGTATTCAGACCCCCTTAAATTTTTCACTCTTTGTTATATTACAGCCATATGCTAAAATCATTTAAGTTCATTTTTTTCCTCATTAATGTACACACAGCACCCCATATTGACAGAAAAACACAGAATGTTTGACATTTTCGCTGATTTATTAAAAAAGAAAAACTGAAATATCACATGGTCATAAGTATTCAGACCCTTTGCTGTGATACTCATATATTTAACTTAGGTTCTGTCCATTTTGTCTGATCATCCCTGAGATGGTTCTACACCTTCATTTGAGTCCAGCTGTGTTTGATTATACTGATTGGACGTGATTAGGAAAGCCACACACCTGTCTATATAAGATCCTACAGCTCACAGTGCATGTCAGAGCAAATGAGAATCATGAGGTCAAAGGAACTGCCTGAAGAGCTCAGACAGAATTGTGGCAAGGCACAGATCTGGCAAAGGTTACAAAAAAATTTCTGCTGCACTTAAGATTCC